GTAACAGGCACTCGTGAGAAGGGTCCCTGAAGAGGGACAGGGAGGATGAAGGGAGGTAAAGTGGATTGAATAACCATTGGAGATGATTTCCAGTACCTACTTGTCTGATGTTATCGCATTCCCCTTTTGTCGAAAAAGAACAAGGCGGTGTCTAAAAGGATGTAGATAATTTGAGTTTTGGCAGCAACTGATTGTGACAGTTGTAGCTCAGGGCCTCGACCAATGTTTCAGAATTGATGTTCTAACTTTGAGGGCTCTGCAGTTGAAGTTTGGGGTACTGTCAGCCTTCGTTTTTGCACCCGTTGTCTTTTCTGCTGGGGTTCGTAGTGTCTCTGGGGTGGCGGGAACTGGGCAGGTTGGGATCTTTGTGATGCCTGAGATTTGCTGTATTTTCTTTTCTGAGCAGACGTGTAGACCCTCAAGAAATGCAACGTGACTTGAGTCTTTTAGTGTGTGAAGTGAACCATCTGTTTTCTCTGCACAGAGTTTGGACCCTTGAAATAGAAGGTCCTCCCCAGTTATTTGGACTTCTTTTGGGAGGCCTGAAAGGTGAAGCCACGAAGCTTTCCTCATTACTACCGTAGTTGATAGGGAGTGGGGGTATATCCTATGGGGGATTAGCCACCAGTCTTGGGGTGTATCTGCCCTATTTCTCAGCAGTTCATCCTGAATTTGGCATCCTCAGTTGTGACCCACTGAGGCACGCTTACAGTGGAAACTAGTATCTATAGGCTACCCAGGGTCGCAATACAGGATCACTGGGATGGTACTCAAGGGTGTCCATAAAAGTGGGTGGGTCTTGCCTGTCATGTCAATATTGTGGCTCTGCAAATGTTTCTAGGTGATTGGTCCCTTGACATTCCCCTGGGGAGCTTTGCACGGAGAGAAGATATGTTATCATCATTGCCCTCTTCTTCGTTTGATAGAGGTGGAGCAAATAAGGGGGCCAATGGTGAGTGTCTCGGTACCACGGGGAATTCAGGAGACCAAGATGTGGTCAGTACCACGATGCTGGTATCGAGTAGTGGGGATTCCATTGTTTCTAAGAGAAATGGAATTCCTGTGGTACCGTAGTGGCAATCCGTACCGACAGAGTCGGTCTAGAGGGGCCCATCAGTGTCAAGGGAGTCAGCAGTACCTGTAGTCTTCTGTGGTCCAATGATGGGCCAGAAGATGGCACTTTGGTCTTTTGCGTGGAAGTGCAAGGCTCCACATATGTTACCTTCTGTCATGCCTCAAAACGGTATATGCACCAAACAGAGACAAATTGAACAAACTACCGTTCTACTGTTTCACCAGAACATTCTCCTTAAAATAACTATATAAAACAAAAACAATGCAGGGAATATTAATTCTGGAAAATGTTATATTAAATTAAAATATGCCATCTGCACAGATGGTCCTCTCTGATAGAATGGGGCCTGGTTCTGAAACCTTTACTCATGCAAACAGTCCTATGTCCTATCAAAATCAAGTCCTATGTCCTATCAAAATCAAAATTACTCCTGGAGCAAGTGCTACTCACATGAGAACAGATAACAGGATCAGACTCTTAAGTAAGACAGCCTTTAGTTCACATTGCATTTCTTTCACTTGTATCCGTCAAGACTCATGCACTTTAAGGACTATTGATACCATGGAGTCATTAATATTGTGTGCTTGTGGTCAAACTGCTCTTTATAACTTGAGTAAGGTGTGGTTATATTTAGAGATAAATATTCTGATAAAAATCATAAGACTGTATAAACAATTAAAAACTTAAACTAGTGTCGCCCATTTGTCTTGGCTTCAAGACTTGGTTGCATTAGAGGAACCACAATTCCAAGGAGAAATGCTATACTAACATTTCTGTCATCACGGCCGGTTGACTATAAGCAGTGAATTGCTAGACTCCAAACATCTATAGTTAATCACCCTTTTGAAAAATTCAAGATCCAGAGAGTAGGCATGTAGGGAGTGATCTCAACAGTCACAGGCAAAGGAGACACTTTCTGCAGCAAAGTACAGCAACGAAAACATTGCAGCAGGCTATGGAAAGCCTGCAGCCTCATCCTTTCATAGAAAATGTGATTGTAATGACAAAGAAAAAAAATATGTCAAGTGGAAGGGATAAGGGAAGCCATTCAGTTACCTAGGCCAGCTTCACAGAATACAAATAGAGCAATAATAATGTCAATAGGCAGGTGTTTAAGCTAATAGATACTAGTTAAAAAGTGGTTATTTTGAGGGGAGAGGAAGAAATCAAACTGTGACCCTACAGAGGAGTGTGTGTCTGAGCTCAGCAACAGATGTGTCAAACGACTTATCCCAACGATGAGGAGTTAATTGATTCTATAAATAGTATCATGTAGATAGAAACACAAAGCTACTTAATCTCAGATCCAAAGCACACAGTCTAGCTTTGTTTATCAGTAAAATTATTTGCATTCAAGGGAGGCAGAGTGGTCAGGTGTTTTACATGTAGATAAACACAGACCTAATTTGATTTGAGGCTATTGAGATATTTGCTTCTTTTTATGTTGTAGAAGTGCAGGGCTCTTTGAGATCTGTAGATTACAGTGGAAGAAAAGCTAGTTCCAAAAAAACTGTGTACATACATTCTTGACTAACAACAAATGTTTTGTAGTTCTAGTGCTCAGTTCTCAGTGGATTTATAAGGGCGACTCCCACTAATGCTTATGAGAGTAGTGCAAATAAATGTATCAAAGCGGAAAAGTTTGTTTTTTTTTACAAGTCTGAATCAAATAAATATCTGCCACGGTGTTTCTCCCCCATGAACCAATTTGTATTGCCAGAAAAACTGTTGTCCTGCAGAGTCCAGAACATGTTTTTCTAATGGCTCTTTTTGCACAGAGGAAAAAATATATCCCTTTTTCTGTTTCTCTGAACGTGTATCTTGTTTTTTAAATCTCTCCCCCACCTTCCTATGGAATGTGTGGCTTCTTCACCGCCTCTTCAGGGGGTCTGAAAAAACAGGTACAAATAATACCTCTGACAGAACAAAAGTCAATATTCATGCTTAGAATTCCTGAAGCTACAAAATCAAGCTGACTTTAACTGCTTACCAACCACTCCTGCAGCGGTACTCTCCCTTACGGCAGCTTCTCTCTCATTGAGAAATAGGAACAAATTGAGACCTCATGTTATTTTAAACCAGGCAAATGCCACTGAAGTCAGTTACACCAGCATAAAGTTAGGGTGAAAACAGAATGAGACCCAATAGCTCTTATTCTCTCCGGGAACTGTCTGTCCCATTCTAAGGACTCATCTACACTGGAGCTGGAGGTGTAATTTCCAGCTTGGGTAGACACATACAGACCAGTGCTTTACTTGTCTTCCATAATTTTATGGGCCAAATTCAGAGTTAGGGAAAGCAGGGGGCAGCTCCCCTTCAGTCAATACAGAGGCATCTGTTTACCACACGTCTCAGTTTAGCCATGTAAATGTAAAATACAATCCAGTTCTCCCTGCACAACACTGCAGCTTTTTTGTTTCACAAGGCAAATGTATATTTGAGAACTAATGAATAATATGTGCAAGAAGCAAATGTACTCAGCTCACTGGACAACTCAAATAATCAGCCTGTTCATGCACAAGCATTCAAAAGCAGGAAAAATAGATACATTTTAATCACGGTCTCTGAGACCCATCATTTCATATGATGGATTCTGGCATATAGATGTCTTGTTAACACTGCCAACAGAGTAGTCTTTGTTACAGACAATGACAACATCCTGGTCCAGAGTCTAGCTGCCGGTCTGAGGAGCAGAAACAGTGTCATGAACCCTGCCAATTAACTTCTCTGCTCTGGGGAACAAGACATTGGTGGCTCCTGGAAGCAGAGACTTAGCACTTGATCTTCCAAGCACAGGGCCACGGTCTGCTCTACATACGGATGCACTGACATGAGTGTTGCAGCAACAGCAGAATTTAGCCTTCAGAGAATAACGTTATGCCTTGTTCGTACAATTCGGCAAGGCAAAGAGCCATAGTGATCCCACAGATCAGCGTAGGCTCAAATAAATGCCCTGAAAAAATGCCCTGAACTTCCACACATCCTTCACTAATGCAGGATGTGTCTGGTACTTGAGTGAAACATAGGTATGCTCCAATGCTTAGGCTGCAAAATATTACACTCAGACACTTAGCCAAAAACAATTTTTATTATAGGCAGTGCAGGTAATGATTCCAGTAGTTAAAACTGCCTGACACTTTCATTTTAAGACCCCTTTTTCAAGAGCTTCTAGCTTTGCCATGCTTTATGCATTTGGACTGAAGTTTTCCATGCCAAGTGTCTGCCTCAGGTAGGGTTGCCAGGTGTCCAGTTTTCAACCACAAAATCTAGTCAAAAAGGGGACCTGGCAGTGTCTGGTTACCAGAGTTACTGCAATCAGTCTCTCCACAAAGATGGTGGGAAGAGCAGCAGCTCTGGAGGAGCTGCTCAGCCACTGACGGAGAGAACTGACTGGCTCCCGGACCCGGTCCAGGCTCTCTGGTGGAGAGGTAGGAACTGGGCTGCCACCACCATCAGGGGTGGAGAGATCCTGTCCACCCTGCCCACCCCCACGCTGTGCCCTGATTTCCCAGCCCTGCCCTCACTCTGAGGACTGACACCCCCCCCCTCCATCCTGCTGTGCCCTAATTAGAAGAAGGTGCAAAATAAAAAAATCCCAGTGCACTTATGGGGTTCCCAAGTGGGGTCGACAGTTAGAGGTTTGCTCATGCCCCAAACCATGAAGGTTCATAGCCTTTAGATATCCCCTCCACTGGGCCCTCAGAGATGTACAGATTCTTGCCACTCCACCAGAATGAACAGGGTAAAATTGTCACTTATCTCCAACGTGGCTAGATCCCCACATGATGCAGGAGAGTGGAACATGCTTTGAAGATGCAATTAAGGATGTAAAAAATAAAAAAAAAACCACAATCCATTTCTCTCACTAATTGGATCAGGAATATTTAACGCAAGTTTGACTTTTCAGACAATGCCCAACTGCATTTTATTAATCCATCTGATTTTTAACTCAATTTAAAAACAGCTATCCTCATAGAGAACATTACTAGTAATATGTAGAATTGAATTTGTAGTACTGTGGGAAATAGCCTCACTCTTTTTATAAATAATGTTTTATAAATGTCTTAAGCCCCACTTGCCGTTGTATAGTACATAATAATGTAATTGCTGGTCATGCTGCCATGAAGAATATGCTCCTTCAGGTGATGATTTACTGTGTTGAACAAACTCCATGCATTTTGGTACTCCTGTTATGCCAGGTGAATACGGAGGTGGGGCAGGGGCGTCTCGTTTTCAGCAGTTAGAAAGCTGGCAACCCTCACCTCAGGCTGAATTTATTTGTTTGAATAATTTCAGCTACCATAGTCCAGGAATTTCTCAGATAGAGATTAGAGGGAAATAAGTTGTTTTGCCCATGCTAAAACCCCTATAGCCATTTGTTGAGAAGCTCTGGTGCCTCCACACTTTGGAACAGGGACTTCAAATTTGGAGGAGGTTGCCCTGGTGTCAAGGATGTATCTTTTTTTCTGTCTGTGAACATCTGCTCAAATTTGGCCAAATTATGAGCCTCTGAAAATCTCAGTTCACACATGCTCAGTAGAGACTAGTTGAAGCTACATTCTTCCAGTATTTCACTTTCACTGGGCATGCTCCCATGCCAGGGCAGCAGGGGCTGAGTAGGACCTTTCCCTGCAATTGCTCCTCCTGGCTATCAGGCATCATTGTGGTGCTAAACAGAAAAGTGAGAGACAGAAGATTGTATCTCCTGCATTCTCAGTGCTCCTGCTGCTGGCACCCAGGCAGCAAAGTCAAGAAGGGGAAGGGAGGGTAGGTAACTAAAGACTTTCACAGTCTCATATCCACAAGGTTGTATGTATGCCTGAACTCTGGCATTTTGTAATGTTTGGATCCATGACTTTGCAACCTAATTGTTCTTTTAACTTCATTTTTTGTATATAATATAGATATAAATGTATATAAACATCCGTGTGTAAATACATACCCAAATTTGCCAGGTTTATTTCTGGCTACATGTTTGTACTCCAAGCATACAATCCTAATCCCTCCCATACTTACATACAATTAGTCAGTTAAAATTGGGATATATTTTAAAGAATCGCCACAACAACCTACCCTAAAACCACAGGCCAGCCCTGTGCACAGTGGTGTGATCATGGTGGATGTGTTTGCCACATTCCTGTTTGGGATGTGCAATACATGCAATGTGGGGAAAGTGTTCCTGGAGAACTCCCATAGTCTTAGACCTACATTTTCTTTTAGCTTTGGATGGCTCAATATTTTCAAGTTGAAATATGTAGGTTCTCTTTCCTGTGGTGCTGAGCACACAACAGTTACAATTCACTTCTGTGATGAAGTGGCAATGTTCTTATGTTTTCTTTGAATACTGTGTGTGCGCCTCAGTTTCCCCTATTTTTCCCCTATTCCCCTAAATTACTCAAGTATTTAGGTGGTGGGATAGAGTATGTGATCACAGCAGTGACCCCTAGAGGACAGGTGTGACTGCTGACTGGCTGCCTGGGACAGAGAATGGCCAACACTCTGTGGCCTGGCATCTGATGGCAGGGCCCCCTTCTCTGCAAGAATTAGCTGGAGGTGTTGATGCAGACCAGGTGACCTGCTGGCCCGGGAAAGAGACAAAGAAACAAGGAGGGGCTATAGGGGGTCTGAGGCCAGGCAGCTGAATCTGGTCTCCTGTTTGGGACTCGGATGGGGGAGTCCAGGGCATCAGCCTCTGGATCCCCCCAAGATGGACTTTACTGAATGGTCCTGCTTTATGTTCTAACAAGCTCTGTTCTACACTATGTTCCTGTCGACTAATAAACCCTTCTGTTTTAAAACACTGGCTGAGAGTCACTGCAGACTGTGAAGTTGGGGTGCATGGCCCCTCTGGCTTCCCTAGGGGTCCCATCCAGGTGGACTCACTGCGGGAAGTGCACAGTGAGAACATGGGTGCTGAATGCTCTGAGGTCAGACCCAGGAAGGCCATAGTGGAAAAAGCTTCTTGCCCTGGCGACAGCTATCTGGTTTCATACAGAGCAGTTCCAGAGCACGGGGCCTGTGACTCTGTGACAACTTCCAATGGAGCAGTGTGTGATCAGCATCTCTGACAACCAGGCCATAGGCATTTCAAGGGCGACATTCAGCATCGGTGGTGTTCAAAATTAGAGAGCCCTCTCAAAATGTGGGTGTTGTGAAATCATGGCTCTGCCTTATCAGTTGAGCATACAGGCCAGGCTCTGATGTGACACAGCAAAACCAGCAGCCAGTAACAATCAAATCCATTTTCATACCGAATTTGGAAAAGCATGCAGAATGCAAAATGTGTCCCCAACTGTATGAGAAAGATGGCAGGGGTATAAATACTATAATGAAACTTCAGTTAACAAGAATTATGGGTGAGATGTTTTCTTTCCTCCACCCAATCAGAATAATAAAGCCCCAGTTTTAAAACGCTTCAGGGATGTCTCTCTACAAACCAAATAGTAAACATCCCTCTACAAACCAAATAGTAAATTGTTACAAAGGTAAACAGCAACATGCAAGTTACAAAGTAGCCAAAAATAAGGCTAGTCCTAGTCCTGTGCAACGTATCTGACTGGACTGGGAATCTGGCATTTCAGGGGACCACAGGCTGCAGGAGCGTGTGCTTAAGGTTCACTTTAGCCAGCTGTCTTGAAGACATGTACTTTTTCTGGGACTGCGATCCCTGGCAGCAGAAGGTTAAGGTTGGGCCTGGAAGCTTTGCCATTTGGCCAGTCTAGAAGACTGCTGACTCCTTGCAAGTGCAATGTTCATACACATATTGGACCCCAACTATTTATACCTTTGATTTATGGATTGGCTACCACCATGTTTCAGTTACAAGAGCTTCACCTCTCTCATGGAGTACAAAGTACTATCCTTCATGGATTCTTTGCTTCTATTGCAAAGGAGCAATCACCAACAGCCCTGCAAAAGCGAGAGAGACGTGATCTAGGGGCTGCCTGGTTTCCCCAGTAGGGGCAAGCAGAAGAGAGACTGAGCATAGAGAAGATTCCTCTTTCATCAAAGCTTCAACTGAAAGCCAAGGAATCCAGTAGCTGTGTCCGGAAGCTCCACTACAATCTCTGGTGAAAAAAGAACTGATAGCAGTAGGGGTTTCAATACTCACCTCAGTTAGGGCTTGTCGATACTACCTGCTGGATTGGCGGGCAACGATTGAGCCAGTGGGGTCGATTTATCGCGTCTACTGAGTGCTCTCCTGTCGACTCCAGTACTCCACCAGAGTGAGAGGTGCAGGCGGAGTCGACAGGAGAGCGTCAGTAGTCGACTCACCACAGTGAAGAGACTGCGGTGAGAAGATCTAAGTACGCCGACTTCAGCCACATTATTCGCATAGCTGAAGTTGTGTAACTTAGATCGACCCCCGCCCCCCCCACCCCCCAGTGTAGGCCAGGCCTTAGTTTAATGGTTGTAAGTGCTATGTTTATAGAAGTTCCTGTCACTAATACATTGGGAGCATGGACCAAAGTGGGGATCAATTATCATTAAACATTGGCTTGAGCCACAGAGTTCAGATCCCAGTCCAAACCACCCCAAATTTTCAGAGGCGGGTTGGATTAGAGCCTAGCTCCACTTAACCTTTTGGAAAGCCCAATTATTTCCTTCTAGGCTAATGTAGCCATACAGTGCCCTCTTTCCTTCCATAGCTACGTTATTTGTGTATCTTAATCTCGGGGTCCTTTGATCGCCCAATGCTTTTCACAGCTGAAGCTCCCCATCAGCGGGTTGTCTTCCTTCCAGCTGAATATTTCACTAATGCCTAACTGCAGCTGTTTAGAAGTAGAGATATTTAGCTTCTGGGTGACTACCTAAGATCTGCTTGAAGAAACTAGCTTTGGATTTAACCATCCCTTTTTAATAACTACTCTGTTGATGCTTATGCTGAGGAGTGGGGAAAGTTTTACATTTTGCTTTTACTGTCTAGCCACTTCAAATGTTTAATAATAAATTCTCTCCACTATTACACCAAAAACCTGGGCTGTTTAAACAGGTTTTTAGCTATAATAAACATATCTTTTAACTTATTTTTATTAAGTTTACATAAGTAATAGAGATAAGTGGCAAAGAAAATCCAAGCACTAAGTGCAAAATAAACTCCTCAGAATCCTTTCTACAAAGAATTTGAGAACTTTAATATGAATTACATACACCTCCAGCTTTGACACATAAACCAGAGACAATGTTTAACAAAAATAATAATCAAATGCGAGGGGGAAGAAGTAAAATCAGAAATGTGATATGAAACTCGGTAATTTAGAGAACTGGGAGAGCTATTTCAGAGTCAAGTTATTTTTAGAAGAATGCTTGGCTAAGGCTTTAATTCACCTAGTCAGAGACAAGGAAAACAGTGCATAGAATGGAATAATATTTCAGAAAAACAAACAGAAACTACTTTAATATTTGATGCACTGTTGTTGCTGAAAAATGGAATTTTTGAAGCACAAGCACCGAGATTAAAAAGATACAGGAAGCTGAAATCACAGTAGCTGAGAATGTTAGTGCTATTACTCTAATTAGTCTGCTGGACAAAGGGTGTGGCTTTTGGTTTCATTTCTACTTGTTTCAACTCTTGCACTAATCAGAGTAGGATCCTGATTTCAAAACTATCATTTTGGGATTGACTCAGCAACAGTTTGGAGCTCTGTTACCCCAGTTTTAGGTGACTTCACCAGGGCCACGTTTAGGCACAGGGTAGACATCTCTGTGAAGGGCACAAGAAAAGACCATCTTGCCTAAAAGATGCTGTACTTCACCCCCTGGAAGCATGGCTGCAGGAGGAGGTCACACCGGCAGAGGACATATTACCACCCTAGCAAGGGTGAATGGAAGATAAATGGAGAGTTTCAGAGGAGAGAGGTAGGAAACTGGGAATGAGAAAAGATGGACACTTCAGGAAACCAGCCAGGGTGGAATCAAGGAAGAACAAGCTGGTAAGGAATGTTCTTGCCTAGGGCTTGAATTTCATCATCACTCCGGCTCAGTTACTACAGAGCTTCTAAACCAAAAATTGAAATTATAGTCTATTTTGTTTGTCTCACAGATCTTGGATTCTCACCTTGGATTCTCCCCTTCCTCCTCTCATCCACTTTTACACGGCTGCCCTAGTAAAAGATTTAGGGTCTTTAACAGTGTAAGAACTAATGAATTTTAAAAAGGAACAAAAAGAGAATTAAACTTAAAACTAAAAAAGGTCTTAATGAATTAAAACCCTTAAATGGTATACAAGCAGAAAATTATACAAGAGGAACAGACTGTAATCAAGTGCAGAAATACAGTACCTTTTGTGTTGTCCCCTTCTTGTAGTTGCTTTAAAAGAAAAGTTCTCCCTTGGTATTAAGCCCACGGAATATCTGATGATAACTGTATCTGTCAGAAAAAGAAAGATTTATTATTCTATGCCAGGAGAGGGAACAACTATGTTTACATAATGAATGAAATTTATGTAGTAAAAACCTTTCAATTTTCAGCCTCCTTGATTCCCCCTTGCTTTTGTGCACAGATTTGAATCCATGCTTCTGAATTATGGGGGAGGGCAGGAAGCACAGGGGAGGCACAGGAGGGAATGCTGTCTCAAAAAAGTCTATTTCCCCCAACCCTGGACTCCATGGAGTCTAAGCTCTGTAGAATCCCTCTATAGAAGGGATATACTTGGGTAAGTAGGTAGTCAAGCTCTCTTCAATTCTCTTACAACACATGATAAATTGCTGCAGATTAAGTCTGTTGTGACATAGGCTGTTGTCCCCTACCCTGGGGTGGAAACATTTGAAGATTTCAGGAGCACCTGGCACGATGATTCCTGCAGGAACCATACTGTCAAGGGCCTAACGAAGCCAGGTGGCAGGATATTGGCTAGGAGCCTCCATGAAGATAGATATCCCTTTCTTCTGGAGGATCCCTGAGATCCATTTTCTTGGGAATGTGAAAATGTGGGTTTCATCCACAATGGTGGGAAACAAACACCAACCTCCCCAAAATGTGAGAGTTCTAACTTGGTTTTTTTACTCCATTAGATGAGTTGTTCCCACCTAGGAGAAAACAGCCCACTTAAAAACCATGTATCAATATCAGCAGCTTTGAAAATATCTTTTATAGACAGTACAAGCTTAACAGTGTTTTTCATGGTTGTGGTTAAACATTCCTGCTGTCCTGTAAAGGATGTGACTATAACTCCACTGCACTGTAATGAAAGGTTCTTTTCTTCCTACCTGAACTGAAAATATTAATATCTGGCTACATTGTTTGGAAATTCTAGTTTGTGCAAAACTCAGACATCTTCCACAGATCAAAAGGGCCATATATCATTTTAATTTCAGGAAAACAGTTACCTTGGTTCAGTATCCAATTCTGAGAAAGCTAATCTAGGACCAATATGGAGGCAAGCAGCTACTCCAATAGTGCATCAGTTCTTCAGTTACTCAATTTACACACAGGTAGAAGAAAGAACCCCCAAACGAGGAGAGAGGGGAGTCAGTGCTTTCCAATTAAACCTTGTACAGTAATTATTCATTTGTAGGGCAGTAACACCATGTGGCCCCCAACAGAAACTCATTCTCCTCAATGGGGAAAGGGGTGGGCTTTGAATGTTGATTTTAGACAAGTTTTAACCTCTCTCCTTTTGTTTGACGTTAAGTAGTATTTATTTTACAACTAGACAATGCCCAGGAATTTCAGACGTAAACAAGGAACTCACACCAAGCCTCCTTGAGAACTACATCTCCATTCTCCTTTCCTGCTTCTTCAGCCAAGTGCACTCAGTCCAGACAACTCCCCAGACCACCCTTCCTTGATTTCTCACATTCTACAACCTAGCCTCAATACCAGATACACACATATGCTCCTTACAGTTCCACTCTATAGCCACCTTCTTAGCTTTACACCCTGGCTGCAATCTGCAGGGAGGGAAGGTAGGTAAGTAGATTAAGGCCTGGTCTACACTACACAGTTAGGTCGATGCAAAGCAGCTATGCCGATTTAATAAAACCATCTTCTCCAGCAGCGTAGAGTCAGAGTGAATGTAGTTTGGTCGACGGTGCAAGTGTTGACACTGGTTACTTATGTCGACCATTATTGGCCTCCAGCAGCTGTCCCACAATGCCACACACCAACTGCTCTGGTCACCGTTGTGAACTCTGCTGCCCAGGGATCAGATAGACCCTACTTAAGGCCCCATGAACTTTTGAAAATCCTTTTCCTGATTGCCCAGCTTGGCGAGCACACCTAGCAGCTCTCCATTGTTGTTTATAGCCACCCAGCTGACCAGGCTGGTTACATGCTCCAGATGTGCTCCTGCCAGATACTGGATCTCCTGGGCCTGTGGAGAGAAGAGGCTGTGTAGGTACAGCTCTGAACCAGCTGTAGAAAGGTGGACATTTAAGAGCAGATTGCTTGGGGGGTTGAAGGAGAAGAGCTATGACAGGAACCAGCAGCAGAGTTGCATGAAAGCAAAGGAGCTGCAGCAGATATACTAGAAGGCCAGGAAAGCCAACAACTGATCTGGTGCCAAGCCACAGACCTGCTGCTTTTACAAATAGCTGCATACCATCCTCAGCGGAAACTACAGTACCACCTCCAACAGCACCATGGATACTTTCAAGGAGCCCGAGTCACTGTCCCCTACTGTGAACAGCAAGGAGGAGGAGGGGGGCAAAGAAGAGGAGTATGGGGAACAGGCGACCATGAAATCCAGCTGTGCAGCAAGCCAGGACCTGTTTTTGACTCCCCCACAGTCCAGCCAGCCCCACCAGGCTAGCCCAGATGAGACAGCTGCAGAGGAAGGAACCTCCGGTAAGTATGCAGTTTATTTTGAAATTACAGGGATGGCACCTACAAAGCAGCAGGACAAGTCTTTTGATGTACTAATTTTTACTTGTGATAGAAGAGGTAGTGGAACAACCAAGAGAGGTAGAGTTGCTATCTGCTTTTCATTCCCCTCTGCTCTGTATGGCCCCCACTGCCTAACTGTAGTTTTTTTATGGGCACCAGGAGGTCCCAAGAATCCTCCGTAGAGATCTCAATGAAACATTCATGGAGGTACTCTGCCAAAGGTTTCCGAGGAGGGCTGCCTTTTTCCTTCTGCCGCAGTAGGACGCTTTTCCAAGCCACTCAGCGATTATGTCAGCAGGCACCACTGCAGTACACAGGCTAGCAGCATACAGGCCGGGCGGCGTTGGGATGCCAGCAGCAGCTATGCTCTGCCTCTTACCCTCAGGATTGAGGTATCTGCTAAAATCACCACCATCTGTGGAGAACAGTGCCAGTATTCAGTTCCATTGCCCTATACAACTAGAATCATGCAACTGAACTATTCCCTCCTCATTTTCCCAACCCCCGGAGGGCCACACTCACCATGGCTGGTGCTGTGACTGGTGCCGAGCTCAATCAATCCCAAGAAGTGAGCACATAGTGTTACAACTTTTGGGGAGCCAGAGGAGTGAGTTCAGCATCTTAAGTTTTTATTTCTGTTGTCAATACACTGACAATGGTACCTCTGTGTGTTGTATCTGCAGCTGCAGCCATTACAGCTTTCACGGTTCCCTCCACACACACCCGCAACACCTGAGCCAGATGAGAAGAACAAAAAGAGGGCTCCGGGTGGCATGTTTCAGGAGATCCTGCAAGCCAGTGCTGCATCAGAGAACGAGCACAGGGCCTGGAGGATCACCCTTGTAGACAGCCTGGAGAAGGATAGGGTGGAGAGGAGAAAGAAGCAGGAAAAGAAGAGGGACATGCAGCAGAACAGAGAGCAGAGATGCTGCAGACTCTGGTGGTTAAACAATCCCATGCTCACCTCCATCTGCAGCCCACAGAGGACTCAATATCGGGACCTCCCTATACCCCCCCCCAACATTCCACGTGACATCAGGGGTCAGTGCACTACCCCTACCACTGCATCTGGGGGGACATTAAAGACAATTACAGCTTCACATACACTGACCTGTGAAAGCCACGGTTGGTGTGGGTGTACCTGAAATCTATGTTCTTTCCCCTTCATAAGTTTTTTCATAGATTATAGGACTGGAAGGGACCTCGAGAGGTCATCGAGTCCAGTCCCCTGCCCGCATGGCAGGACCAAATACTGTCTAGACCATCCCTGATAGACATTTATCTAACCTACTCTTAAATATCTCCAGAGACGGAGATTCCACAACCTCCCTAGGCAATTTGTTCCAGTGTTTAAGTTCTGTTCCCTTAATTTATACATTTATACATTTTATTACATTTAAAATTATTTTTAATTGCCTGGTTTATGTCACAGAATAAAATTCTTTTATTTTTTTAAAAACAAAATTCATGTTTATTAGTTCACAGCATATGCTGGCTGGTGCTGAGCAAGTCTGACAGCACCTGATAACTGTTACTGCACTGTGTCACACAACACATATCCTTCACAAACAATATTTATAGGTGCATTGACAACGTTATATTCCTACATACACAGCAAGCCGAAGAAGATTCATACCGGGTCACAAAAGAGCAAGGCCAGGTACAGCACACTACTGCAACACACACAACTCTGGCTCACTATGGTCAGTGGTCTTTCAAAGTCTCCCTGAACTGCATAGCTCCTCACTGAGCTCTTCTAATAGCCCTTGTATCTTGCTGTTCAAATTCAGCAGACTGCTACTCCACCTCTGTAGAAACTTTTCCCCCTTTGCTTCACAGATATTATGCAGGATACAGCACACAGCTATAACCATTGGGATATTTTTCTCACTGACATCCAACCTTATAAGTAAACAATGCCAGTGACTCTTCAAACAACTCAAGGCACATTCAACTGTCATTCTGCACCTGCTGAGCCTGTAGTTGAAGTGCTCCTCAGTGCTGTCAAGGGTGGCTGGTGTATGGCTTCCTGAGCCATGGGAGCAAGGAAGTAGGCTGGGTTGCCCAGGATCACTATTGGCAGTTCAACATTCCCAGTGGTAATCCACTGGTCGGAAAAGAAAATCCTTACTTGCAGCTTTCTGAACAAGTCTGAGTTCTTAAAGATGCATGCGTCATGCACTTCTCTGACCAGCTCACAGTGATGTCAGTAAAGCATCTCTGGTGTTCCACCAGCACTTGCATTACCACAGACAAGTAACCCTTTCTGTTGACGTACTTGTGGCAAGGTGATCTGGTGCCGAAATAGGGATATGTGTGCCATCTATCACCCAACTGCAGTTTGGGAACCTCATTGCTGCAAAATCATCCAGTATGTCCTGCACACAACTGAGAGTCACAGTCCTGCATAGCAGGAGGTGACTAATGGCTTTGCACACTTAAATGGTAACGGATCCTGTGGTGGATTTTCTGACTTCAAATTGATTCCTGGCTAACCGGCAGCAATCTGGTGTCGCAAGTTTCCACAGTGCAATTGTCACTCT